TAAACTACTAAAAAAAGCCAGAAATGGTGCTCAGGCCCTGAGTTTAAGCCCCAGGACTGGCACACACATACAAAAGAAAAAACAATGGCACCAGGCCAGCCCAAGAAGCACCCCTCTGTGCTCACTAAAAACAGGGTAGATGAAGGACTATGAAACTCACAGTGGCATACTGCTGAGCAGTGAGAAGGTATAACATGGATAATGCACACCAGTTATGTATATAATCCCCTTTGTACAAAGTTCAGAAAACTGCTGTATGTGGTGGTGCACACTTAAAATCCCAGCACTTGGGAGGTGAGGCCAGAAGATCTTAAGTTTGAGGCCAGTGTGGGGTGCAGAGTGAAACCCTAGCTCCAAAACTCAAAAACTAAATCAAATCCCCTCAACTCATAAACTATTCTGTGAAAGGTTCTGGCTGACTTTGGTGGGGAGTGCTGGAGAATTTAGGAGGATCTGGGGGATAGGTCATCTCTGGGCTTGATTTGGGTGTTGGTTTTGTATCTGTGTTCATGTTATGAATGAATGTAGCTATACTTTGGTTTGTGAACATTTCTGTCCATAAAAAGTACTTTTGAGCAAGGCACTGGTGGCTCATCATGCCTGTAATCCTAGCTTCTCAAGAGGCTGAGATCTAAGGAACTTGGTTTAGAGCCAGTTCACGCAGGAAAGTCTTAGCCTTGTATCTCTAGTTAATGACCAAAAAAGCCAGAAGTGGAGCTCTGAGTCCAAGCACCGGATACACACACACACACACACACACACACACACACACCACACACACAGAGTATTTGATAAAGATAATGCCTTTGAAGACAAAATAGGGACACTATTTCGTTTTGATCAGCACCTGGAAGATACTTGGCACTCAGCTATTATTGACTGTGCCAGAGAGATGACAGGAGTCATCTCCCTAGATGGTGTGTGTGTGTGTGTGTGTGTGTGTGCCCCAGCACAGCTGTGCAGGATGCTTCCCAGCCCACAAAGGTGACAGGCCAGTTTCCTAGAGGGCTGGGTGTGGAGGAGGCTGGGGCAGGAAGTTGATCCCTGCCATCCCAGAGGGGAGAAGGTGATGGGCTGCAGCTAGACACTGCTCAGCAAGAAGAAGACAGCACTGTGGGAGGCCTTCCTGCGCCCCGGGCACAAGCTTTGGCAGACCGCACCTGCAAGGATCCCCAAGCTCTTCATGGATTCAAGGATGCATTTATCATTGATGAAGCCCTGGTCTGTCAGCTTTCCTCTTCCACAAACTCCCTTCCCTGAAGCCCTGCTGGGCTCCAGATGGCCTTTGCAAAAGGCCTGGTCCTGTGCTGCGTGGGGCCAGCTGCTTCCCCAGCTCATAAGGGTAGGGGGTGGGTGATGGGGGGCTGGGTCTAGAGCACAGCCTGACTGGCAGCCAGTGCTGTCCCCAGGGGGATCCACTCTGCTGCTCCAGGAGAGGAGAGATATGAGGGGCTCCTGACCCTCCATAGGAGAAAGCTCTGCTCGCCATCCCCCTGGCCAGGGTGTAAAGACCAAGTTCCTCCTGCCCCGTGCTCCTGAAAAGTCCATGGTGAGGAATGAAACAGGAGAGCGACAAAGCAGCACTTCCTGTGGGCCAGAGTTCAGGATGGTCACTTGGGCTGCCTGCTGACAGGTGCTATTGAAGCTGCTGTCTTTCCACAGAAACTTCTGTGGAAGTTTCTTGACCCTCATGTGGTCAATTCCTACTAGCCTTGCTTTTTTTTCTTTGTCAGTGTGGGTCTTGAACTCTGGGCCTGGGCGCTGTCCCTCAGCTCTTCAGCTCAAGGAGAGCACTCTACTACTTGAGCCACAGAGCCACTTCCGGTTTTCTGGTGATTTATTGGAGATGATGGACTTTCCTGCCTGGGCTGGCTTTGAACTGTAATCCTCAGATCTCAGCCTCCTGAGTAGCCAGGATTACAGGTACGAACCTCCAGTGCCTGGTTTAGCCTTGCTTTCTGAGACTTCCCTAGCTACCCGGGGCTGGCTTGAGCAGGGCTCATGGCACTCTGGCTTGGGGACAGTGCTGTCTCCATTCCGCAGAGTTCCCTGCAGGACCTAGGACGCTGCAGCTCCTCTCAGAACCTCTTTCCCACTTCCTCCCTTCCCTCCTCGGGGTGAGCGGAGCTGGCACCCACTGGGCCCCAGCTTCCCTGTGATGCTGTTTCTTGCAAGGGTCTGATTTCTGTGGGGGTAGTGACTAACAAAGAACGTACTAGAAATGAGGTGGGTGGGTCAAGGCTAAAAAGAAAGGCGAAGTTCTGAATGGACTAGTGTGCCTTCTTCTGCTCTGCACCCCACTCCCCCCAGGACCCCAGTCACAAACTTAACCTGGTTCTCATGCTAGGAGCGGACAGGGATTTCACCTGTCCCCACCTTGAGATGGGGGCCCAGCTCTGCCTTGCTTGCTCTCCCTCTCTGCAGTGGCCGGGCTCTTATGGGGGACAGTCAGGAAGTACTTGACACCAATGGGTCAGAATCTCACCTTCAACAGGAGATGTCATCCCTGACACACTGCGCAGTACTTCACTTTGTGTTAACCTCCATAGAAAACAGCTCATCCTTTGGACCAGGACTGTGTCCCTTCATGGAGGAGAGATCCACACATAGCCAAACAGGCATCTACATCTTTTAGGATGCATCCACCACCCTGGCCTGCCCAGAACCTGCCCTGCCCCTGCCTTGTGTGGTAGGAAAAGTCCTTTCCTATCTCCTGGCTGTTCCAGAGTCTCTGCTGTCCCCCAAATGTAATACAAATGACCAGTGGCTCCCCAGAAGTACCCCAGGAAGAGCCTCCTAACCCGCTTCCTGTCTGCAGGAACAGACGTAGTCCCGGAAGGCTACTGTTCTTCAGGAGAATCTGCAGTCAGCACCAAACATCACTCCACAGCTGCAAAGCCCCCAAGCCTACTGCCTTCCTGCGGAGACGGGATTACAGTAGCAGACCCCAGCCTGGGCTACTGAGGACCACCACCACCACACCCGCCTTGGAGGTGAGGGAGGCCAGCGGGCTGGGCTGCCTGAATTGCCTCAGTCAGGCCGGGCTTGCACCCTCATTCACCCACAGGTAGGTTGGGACAGAGGTGATTCTCAACCCTGATGGTGCTCCCCACCCCTACCCCCCCCCACCCCCTCCATCCTGGGCCCTGCACATACACCCATCCACGACTAGATGGATTTGGCATAGGCTGCCCTAGGTAGAGGCTTGCCAGATGCATTGTCCAGGCAATGCCCACTCAAGACCCTGCCAGGGCTGGGAGCCCCATGATCTCCACAAGCCTCAGCCCAGGTCCTGAAAAAACCCATAGCTGGCACTTCTTTCCAGAAGGAAGCCAGGCTGGAAGAAGTTTACTTTAAAAAAAAATTAGTGTATATGAATAGTACACAGAGGTTTAATTGTGCTATTTCCAGACACATATAATGTACTTTGATCAAATTCATCCCCTCTGTGTAACCTCACCTTGGGAGCGGCTTCGGGGCAGTCCCACCCCACTCCCTCTGCTCCTGTCAGCAGTGCCCAGCACACCTGGCACACAAGATAGAGCAGGGGACCCTGAGTGGCTGGACCCTGGAGAATCCTCCTGGCTGAGCACAAGCAGAAACCTCCGAAAACACACGCGCTGTGTCCTAAGAACAGGATTATTTGGAAAGGACAGGAATTTGATTTCTCACAGTTCTGGAGGCTGGCAGTGTGTGTGTGTGGGGGGGGGGTGTCCAAGATCCATGCAGTCACAGACCGGAGAGGGCTGCAGTCCTCGTTCCAGGTGGCACCCTGCTGCCGAGGACTCTGGATGCTGCATATGACATCAGGTCAGAAGCTAGGTGCAGCAAAGCTCTTCTATGCCAAGCGTTTTCTAAAGGCCCGCAGCCTGGTCCTGAGGGAGGGGCCTTGTGGCCTTTAAAAGGCTTCACCTCCTAACCCCAGCGCCAGGGGCTTTTAGTCAAAACACCTGGCTGTGGAGGCAAGGCTGCAAGCAAAGCATGAGTCAGGACTACTGGGCCAGTTTTATTCCACATGGAGAAACACACGTGGCCACTGAAGAGCACATGGTTGGTTTCAGCATGTGAAAAACCCAAACCTCTCTTTGGTTAAAATGTAAAGAGCAGAATTGGGGCTGGGAAGGTGGCTCAGTGATAAGAGTACTCGCCTTGCATACATGAAGCCCTAGGTTTGATTCCTCAGCACCACATAAGCAGAAAAAGCTGGAAGTGGCACTGTAGCTCAAGTGGTAGAGCGCTAGCCTTGAGCTGAAGAGCTGAGGACCAGCGCCCAGGCCCAGAGTTCAGGCCCCACCACTGAAAAAAAAAAAAAAAAGACTTATCTAAGGACCTTGAAGCCATCTCTTAATAATTAATTGCAAAAAGTATTGGTAGTGTTTTCTGCATTGTCTGTGCTCCCCCGTGGATGGGTGGTCCTCTGGGAACAGGGCCTCTGTCTGTTGGGTGACTGGTGTTGGTGGCTGCCAGCAGTGTCTGGTTGGGGGGGGGGTGACTGTGTAGATTGGGAGCTTCAGGGGAGGGAAGCAGGGGCAGTGTGGCGGAGGTAGGAGCTGGGGAGAACTGTTTGCAGGTGTGATGTGCACAGCTGTCACCACATCCATTCAAATGTTCACACTTTACCAGAAGCAAAGGGGACAGCTGTGCCAGGCACCGCTGGTTCTGGCCAACCTGCATGTCTGCCCCTTTCCTGCTAGGGACCTGAATCTCAACACCCCAACTCTTATCCCCAACAAGTCCCAGGGAACAGCGTAAGAAGTTCAGGCCAGGTACCTGCTGAAGCATCTTAGAACCCCCGCTTCCCACCTGTCACAGACAGTCCTTGGGCTGAAGCATGCTCCCGGTGGAGCTGACCCAGAGTCTTGGAAGCACCCCACACCCTCCCAGAAAAGTCCACAGTGGGCAGGGCCACACAATCCTGTGTTTACTGACCTAAGGGTTTGTGTAGGCAAGTCGTGTTTGAATTGGAGGCACACATGTGCTGTGTGTTTATTCAAGCGTGTTGTGACATGAATGGCAAGGTACTCTTGGGGACTGATATAGGACCAGGCTGGGAAGAACATTTTGTTGGTGTTTACTGCTTGGACTTGAACCTGGTTCCAAATGCAGTGAACTGCCTTTTTTTTTTTTTTTAAATTATCTTCAGGTTGACAAGGAAAAACTGTATTTCTAGTGCACATCATGATCCTCTAATGTAGACAGACTGTAGTTTAGTTAATCAGGCCATTAACATGTATCACTTCTTTTTTGTGTGTGTGGTGAAAACACTGAAAATCAGCTCTTAGGAATTTTCAGACACATAGCCTACTGATGGCACCTCCTGAGCATGTTTCTCTGAGGGATGGAGGTTGAATCTTTATAAACAGCTCCCTGCTGAGCTCCTACCCATCCCACTTCCCATACCCACGGTCTACTTGAGTTCCACTTTTTATGCTCTGTATATGAGATCACACAGTGTTTGGCAGAAAGAGGCTTGTGCCACTTAACCTGGTATCCTCCAGGTTCATCCATGTTGTTATAAACAACAGGATCTCCTTTTGAGAACGGAGTAGTCTACCATGTGTATCTCTCATGTTTTCTTCACCCTTCCACTGAGGGACACTTAAGCTAACTAGTACTGTGAATAATGCTGCAGCAAACACTGCAAGGAGTGATTATCTGTAGGAGTAGGTTTTGATTCCTTACTTTTAGTCTTCTGCATATCTATACAGATTGTACCTTGTGGGCACTGATACTAAGAAGTTCGAACAAAACAGTTACAAAAGGCTATTTAACTGATAATAACTTTACCTTGATCACATAAAATACATTTACTACATCCCTCCCATATATATTTTATGTTTAGAAGTAACAAGTTCCATCTTTTTGTTTTAGGATTAACCTCTTCTCACAGCCTCCCTATTAATGGAATTATAAGTGTGCCCTGCACAAGTTATCTTTTTCTATTCTGTTCTCCTGTTTTAGTTCTTTAGACTATTGAAAGGGAAACGACTGAATTGTACCCTGAGTTGATCAAGCTCCTCTGCTTTAGCTGCAGGCTCACTGAGAACCTTCTGTGACTACCCTGAGAAGACAGCTTCAGTGACATCACAGGTCAGAGTTCAAATCCCTGCTCTGCCTCTGCTTCAGCAGGTGGCCTGGTTAAATGATTTGTCCTCTGACTTGGGCTTGTTCCACCTGTACACTGAGTCTGTAGCTGCTATGGGCTTCTAAGTGGCAGTCACTTAGTGCTCATCACTGCCCTCAGAGCAGAGGTATCCTCACATCCTTCTTCAGAGGCAGGGCCCGTGCGGTCATTCTCAGGAGATACCCACATACATGCCCAGTTCACATCTGGCCATCCACCAGCCAGCTCAGCCTGCTCAGCATGACGTGTTCTAGGCCTGGTCTCCCTCCACCCCCCTAATGGCTCTATTTCATACACATCGAGCCAGACATGAAAACCCACTCAATGATATCTATGTACACATCCATTTCCTGTGGGTTTGCTTCTTAGCATCAGGCACAAGAGCTGGATGGTCCCTGAGTGGGCAGACACAACTGGGCATGTGAGCACGTGAGGAGGTGTCGGGGACTGCCTGGGACTCAGGACTGAGCATGTCCATGGAAGTCCGGCCATGTCGCAGGAGCACCTGGGTGGCTGGCCTCTGCGTGGTGTCTGTGGCGCAGCTGCTGTGTGAACAGAGCCAGGGTCTCTATAAGTAGGAGATGATAAAACCTGACTATGGCCGCAGGGCTGTAAATGCCTCCCACGATTTGATGGCTCGAGAAAACTGGTTAGCCGGCTTGCAGGACTCCAACAGACATTTATTGCTAGGAAGGAGAGGCCTGCTGTCACAAAAACACATCAACAGGTGGTGTGCTCTCCAGGCCTGCGTCTGACACCTGCAGCAGCCTGATCCACCTCTGTTCTCCAAGGCTGGTGCCCTCCTCATGATACCTACAGATGCCATCTCTGGGACTCTTATCTACTTTCCAAGCTGCAGGGAAATGGGAAAAAGTCCCAAGGGACATCATCTATTTCTTGGAGTCTGAAGGCCTTGAAGCTGTGGCAGGCAGGGAGTCCAGACTGGGGACTGTGGGCGGAAGCTGCGCAGAGAGGTTGGTTGATCCTGGATCCCTAGTAGGAGCGTGGAGCAATAGAGGCTAAACCTTCGGGGACCAGAGCCCTCCTGTGTCCCTGGGATGGCTGTCTCTCACAACCACTCCTCCAGGCAGCCTCAGTCCTCCGTCACAGGTGGGGGGATGAGCCGCAGCTGGAAGTTCTCCTTCTGGAAGACGCTGTTGAAAGCAGGGCTACTCTGGGAGCCACTGAACGGCCTGCAGCTGTCACTGCCGCGGTTCTGGGCGAGTTCAGTAAGGAGAGCCAGCTGCAAAGAAGGGGACACACATGAGGCGAGCCTGTGGAGACAGATCCCATGTGGGGGGTCTGGGAGGGAGGGGCTCAGAGGTGGAGAGGATGGCATTCCCCTGATCCAGGAGAGGGAGAATCGAGGTTTGGGGCCCTGGGCGGGGTCTCACAAACAAGCAGGATGCCTTGGAGCGCGTTCTAGTGAAGACATTTTGAGCCTCCATTTCCGCAGTAGTGATAACGAGACACATGACCTGTGCTCTCTGGCCCTGCAGAGCCCCGCAGCCCTGCCCTCCGTGTCCTCACTGCTCCTTTCCCTATGCTGCGGGGACCCTGTCCTCTCCCCTGCACTAAGCAGAGGCCCCCATTCCTAGCTCATTCCAGTCTGCATTCTCTACCAGGGTGCTGGCTCCCCTGGCTCTTCCCCTTCCCCTCCCTCTTGAACCTGGACAGCTCCAAATGGTGAATCAGCCACCAACTTAAACTCGGGCTCCAGAGCGCTACTTGAACCTCCAAAATAAGTCCTCCAGTTCCCAGCTTGCTATTCTACCAATGGTGCCAGCCCAACCCAATGGCTAAGATCTGAAGAAATGCCAGGGGTGAGGGGCACCAGGAAGCCAGGCCTCAACCTTAACAGCCTCTTTGAACCTAGGCTACCTTTCTGCAAAAGTCAGAGCCTGATGGCCTGGTGCTCCCGATGCCCTGCCTCAGAGCACAGAACTCACACCCAGGGCTTGAGATTTCTGTCAGAGGCAACCATCTGGATCTACCCCTAGTGCTAATGGGACGGGAACCTCAGTGTCAAGATGCCAAGTTCTCCAATAACCTAGGAGGAAGCATTGTATCCAGCACTGCGTCCTGAGGAAACTGGCAAGGCTATATTGGAGGCCAAGGAAAGCCGGGCCTGTGGGGACCATTCTGGAGGGAGGCCGCTGTGACCAGAGAGCCAGCTGAATACTTAGGGTCACATATGTTTGACTGCAGTCACAAGTCCCCGAGACTTCTGAAAGCCTCAGGGAACTATAAGAAGTGTCTTTGCAGCACCAGACACTATGCTGATGCTTCAATTTCTCTCTCTCTCTCTCTCCCCCTCTCTCCCCTTCCTTCTTTTTCCTATGTGTGTGCATGTGTGTGTGTTGTGTGTGTGTGTGTGTGTGTGTGTGTCTGTGTGTGTTGGGGCTTGAACTCAGGGCCAGGGTGCAGTGTCTGAGTTTGTTTGTTCAAGGCAAGAACTCTACCACTTGAGCCATTGCTCCACTTTCAGCTATTTGGTGGTTAATTGGAGGTAAGTTTCATGGACTTCCTTTACTGGGCTGGCTTCGAACCACAATCCTCAGATTTCAGCCTCTTGAGCAGCTAGGATGACAGGCAGGAGTCACCAGAACCCAGCTTGCTTTAATCATTTTTCAACCCTTCATGGTACTCTGGGAAGTTGGGTAACAGCCTGGGTCACTGCCAGTCAGTAGCAGCAGGGTGGGCGAGGTTCATACTTGGTTCATGTGGCAGTCTCAGCTGAGCCATGCCGCCTGCCTACAGTGCTGCCTTTCTGGAGATAATCTGCCTATCACTTGTGTCCTGCTCACCCGCCCTGTTCCAACTGCTGACAAGATCTCCTTTCATATAGTCTATTATGGCTCTAGGCTCAATGTCCATTTGTTACTTCTGTTGCAAATACAATCAGTGGCTGTGGAAGGAGTCATGTGAAGACCCATAAGTTCTTTTTTTTTTTTTGTATCTTTACAATTAAAAAAAAAAAAGGAAGAAATCTGATACATGCTCCAGCATGGGTGAAATTGGAAGATATTGAAGATATGCAGGGCATAACAAGCCAGACACGAAAGCACAAACACTACACCATTTCACTAAAATTAGATACTTGGAGCAGGCAAATTCATAGTAAATGAAATGGTGATTGATGGGATTGGAAAGAGAAGAGAGTGAGAAGTTGTTTAATGGTATGGAGCTTCAGTTTTGCAAGATGGAAATAGTTCCAAAAATAATGGTGATCACACAACGATGCAAACATTTCAGTGCTTGAGGCACATATGAACTGTATACTTGAAAATGATTAGATTTCAAGTATACAATTAAATGGTTAATGCATATCTTATAACAGCTATTTTTAAAATAGAAATTTTAATTATGAGAAAACTTGTAGCTGTTGACATTACTGGTTATCTATATGGATGAAAATTCTGTCCCTATCTTCAGACTTTAGTCTAATGCTGATGAGTTGTCCATGTCGAGAACTGAATCCTCAGTATATAAAGATATGGCAATACAAAAAAAAATGTTATTATAAAGGTGATGTCCAGAGGAGTTACAGTGTCATAAGTCAGGTAATAAGCACGTTTCTTTTTGGACAATGTAACCCCTTTCCTCACTCTCTCCCAGTCTCTCCCTCCTGTCCCCATGCAAGGACTCCAAGTTCTAAGTACCAATTTATCAAAAATAACTGCATCCCAGGTCCTAACTCAGCTACATGCTGTGGTCTAATTTGTACCTACTAACTCCCATGCTCACGCTCTGTGAACTGTGGATGCTAAGGACCCCGGGAGGAGAGGGGCCAATGCCTCTACTGATGCTGTGCTGTGGTGGCGAGATGCCCCTCTGCTCAAACCCGCCACGTGCCGCTTCCCTCCTGCTGTAACCCTGGCAGGTGCCCGGCAGTCTGACAAGGGTCTGCCAGGAGATCACACTCATGGCTCCCAAGAGAGCAGCACTTTTACTTTCTGACACCATGAGGTTCATAGAGCAAACTCAAATAGTTTATATTTCTTAAGCAAAGTTATTTTGGGTTCTCTTTCTGTAACTTAGTGACCTGGAAACTGCTGGGTTGCGAATGAGGCTCAGCAGCCTGAAGCGCAGCTTTGTTCTCAGAAGGCCCAGAACCTCGGCTCCTGGGGCAGTGCTTGGCTGAAGCTGGGAAGCATAGAGTGGCTCTAGACTCAATAAGGTTGGTGGGCCACGCACTGGAGATGCCTGGAGAAGCCTCTTGGACAGGAACCTCTAGGAAACCTGCTCTCAGAGGGAGTGCCACTTTTCCTTGGTGCTTGTCTGTGAATGGGTGTGGGGCAGCTCACTCAGGCAGAGCTGGAATCTAGGAGCAGATGGGCCAGGACAAGCTAATGGACCCAGTGTGCAGGTGGGGTCTGGGTGACCTGGGGGTGGAGATATTGGCAGGGGTGGGAGGAGGCAGAGTGGCTGTAGGCAAGGAGGTAGCAGGCCACAGCTGGATGGGGAGGAGGAGCCAGGCTGCAGTACGGGGAAGGGCCAGGAGGGATGCTAACTGATCAGAAGACCTGCAGTGGCTTCTGCAGTAAGAGAGACTTGACCCAGGGTAGTGGTAGTTGGGAAAGGAGAGAGTGGAATAGATGTCAGCTTCTCCAGTAAGTGGCTGGAACACGATGGCTGAGCTGCCAGGCTTCTGCTTTAGGTGACTGGATGGGACATGGTGCCACTTCTCAGGCTGGCTCTGCTCTAGTCAAGGCTGAGAGCTAATGAGGATGCTGAAGGGCCTGTGGGACATCAGCACAGCTGTAGCTAACTCTGAACTTGCTCCTGCAGTTCTAGCACATTACTGGACTTTATTCTGGCATGAAGACCAGTTTTCCCAGTCTTCACAGCAGTTGGGCATGGTCATGGGTCTACATCTGACCGATGGAGGTATGTGGAAATGGGATGCATTGCTTCTAGGGAGGGCTAATTCTCTCCTCTTGCTAGCTGGAATGCAGTTGTGATGGTTTAGGGCTGGGGCAACTGTACTGAAACATGCAAGTATACTCCATGAGCTAGAGAAAATCTGTAAGGAGGTTTATGGAAGGTGCCCAGTGTCTGAGACACTTCTGTCTTGTTTAAGCCACCGTACTGGGTATTGATCTTTCATGGCTAAAGAGCATTCATCCAGAAGTCCAGGAGGGCTGGGTCTTAGGGCAGGTTTGGCAGTTACTGACACAAAGGCAGGCCTCACAGAAGCCCTCTGTGTTCTCAGGGTCCACCGTAGGTAAGGGACAGACACCTCTCTACTGCTTCTGTTTCCTTAGCAAAGTTCTCAGTGCTCTCTGAGGCCATGACAGGGATGCAGCTGGGACAGAGGGAGGCTAGGATTGGGACTCCATAGCCTTGACTTTCTGAATAAGGAAATACAAGTGTTACCCTGGAGCTTCCTCGGTAGAGCCGGCAAAGCTGATCAAATGACTGGATTTGCTGTGGATCCAGAACAGGTTCTGAAGTTACCTGAGAAAGAAAAAGAAAAAGGTAAATAATACCACCACGAGGCTGTTGGTGCCTTGCCTCTGAATTTGGCCCACACCAAGAATAGAGCAGGGCATAGTGGTTCCTTTGTTCTTCTGAGGAAAATCTCTACTACTTGCAATTAGGGAGGAAGACTACTGGCATTCATTAGAAATGGGTGTGTCCCTCTGCAGCCCTTGCTTGGTGCTGTGTCCAGCTTGACTAGCTGTGGACTCACTCTGTTCGATATGGTCTCGAAAGTCTCATATGTCCTTTGGGGCTTCCTGATTCCTCTCTGCCATCACGATGCAGAGTGATCTTGCTTCATCCAGTCTTGCCCTTCCATGCTCTTCACTTAACCTGGCCCACAGAGTTCCTTTCTTTCACCTGCAGGCTGTGGCTTAGAAGAGGGGAAGGCTCACCATACCTGCTGCTAGCATGCTTGTCTGATCACTGCAGTGCTGTAGCTGTCTCTCCGTGGATCTGCTCCAACTTAACACTCAACACTCAACTTACACTCAAGTGGGATGGGGAAGGCAGCACAGGTCAGAGGTGAACACAGACTCTTCTCACACTAACCTGGGCAGAGGGTACAGCTTACTGTGAGGTGACAGATGGTAGCCTCAATGGGATACTGTCTAACCTGCCTGGCACCTAATAGGTGCCAGGGTCTCTATAGGTGCTAGATTTTGACACTATGGTCTGGAGATACTATTGGTTAAAAGCTGATTTCAGAAGTGTTTTTGTGTTTCTGTACAATGTGTGTGTGTGGGGAAGATGCATGCCAGTACTAGGACTTGAATCCAAGGTTTTCTATTCTTGCTTAGCTCTTTTGCTCAAAGCTGGTGTTCTACCACTTGAGCCATAGCTCCACATCTTGTGTTTTGTGTCAGATTAGTAACGATGCCTTTCTTTGCCTTAGATCCTGAAGGTTTTAAGCAGGAATTGTAAAGGATTCCCCAAATGAAATGTGTGACAAGTGCTTCAGTGCTGAAGGGCCTGGGTGGCACATTCACCCTCAGGGCTGAGGGATCCGGGGGCCCGGGGTGGTCTGAAGATGTATGTTGGCCACAGGCCTCATTCAGGTGGACAGGGAAAAGGATGGGTGGGCACAGGAGGCTCGGGGCTACTATGCCTGGGAGCTGAACATTTCATGTGGGTCATCTTACGCAATCATCAAAACCACTCTATGAGAAAGGACCTGGCATCTTGACAGGCGTGTAAATTTCACTTGTCATCTAGGATTCTTTGCTTCCTTCCTTTCAAGCTTCCACCCCTCGTGGCTCAGAGAATGGAAACAAGCATTGCGTAAGATCCATCCTGCTAGCCTGGCAGGCAGCTAGCGCAGCTCCATCTCCTAGTTGGGGAAATGAGGTTTGAGGATGCTGAACGTGGCAGCCCTTGAGAAGGTGTGTAGTTCCTGGGCTTCTAGAATACCACATGGCACATCAGATAATGTCAAGGCAGATACAGCTTTAGCCACCAGCCCAGGCAGGCCACAGGAGCTCCTGATGTGCTTGGTGGTGGGGGGAGGGGAGGGGGGGGAGGGGAGGGCTGGGGAGGTGCTGGCTCAGTAGAGGTGGTGAGCAGGGGGAGGAGAGCCCCTCAGGGCTCTCCGTTCATTTAGTTAGACTCATTTCTCTGGGTCTTTCAGACATACCAAGGGTCCCTCTGTGCTCTGAGAATGTTAAACTTGCCTTGACACTCTTTGTGAAACTTTTGTCCTCAGTATTATTTGGTAAGAAAAATGATCACATTTTTTTCAAGAGAAAGTGTGTGCATTACTACATTTCTGATAGACTGTGGATGGGGCCCAGGGGAGTCCTAAGCTAAAAAAAGACCTGAAGGTCAAACAAATACTGCAAACCTAGCTCAAACCAAAGCAGAGAGGAAAAACACCTCTTTCGAGGCCATTAAGAGTAGAAAGCAAGGTCCTGACACTTGGTTTAATCCAATCCCCTTAGTGCTACTGGCACAAGCTGGAAAACAGGATGTCATCAAGAAAGGCATGGGCCATTCGATGCACTGGGGCCACCACTTCACGGTGCATTTGTCAAGGGACCAACTATCCTGTCTGCTCTGCACTTTACTTAGACCCTAGTACTGTGTGGTAGGGGGTTAAAAAGGAAAGCCCTAATGGAAACAAGTAGAGAGGGGACTAAGCAGGGCACTTGGGGTGAGGCAAGTTAATTAAAAATGACAGCAGAAAGGATGAGTGCACAATGATGGAACAGTGAGAATAAGAAAAGGTTACTCCTTACAGTACCTGTGTAAACAAACCCTTTATCTTGAGGGGATTTTATCAGCACACAATCTCATGAAACTACATTTCATGTACAATGGCACATGAAATTCCATGGTGGATGACATAGGTGGTGCTGGTTATGTCTGAAGATCACTTAAGGAATTTCCACCACATTTATACAGAGAAAAGCTGTGTTGGACATGGTAGTCTTATTACTATTTATGCTGTGTTTTCTTTTGGTGGTACTGGAGTTTGGAACTCAGAGCCTGCTCTACACTTAAGCCACTCTTTCAGTTTTGTTTTTTTTTTTACTTTAGTTTTCATATATGATTTTGTGTTTTTTCCAGGGCCTGCCTGGGACCATGATGCTACTCCCACACCTCCCACATATTGGGATTAGACATACGCTACCATGCCTGTGTGTGCTTTTGAGTTATTCTTGTTAGCTTTTTTTTTTTTTGTCCTCAAACTATGATCCTTCTTTTTTTTTTTTTGGGTCCGGTCGTGGGGCCTGAGCGCTGTCCCTCAGCTCTTCAGCTCAAGGCTAGTGCTCTACCACTTGAGCCACAGCGCCACTTCTGGCTTTTTTCTTTTTGCTTATGTGGTGCTGAGGAATCGAACCCAGGGCCTCAGGCATGCAAGGCAAGCGCTCTACCACTGAGCCACCTTCCCAGCCCCAAACTATGATCCTTCTGTCTTTATCTCACGGTAGCTGGGAACATAACTACACCTGGATTACTAATCTCTCTCCATTCCTTCCTTCCTTCGAGACAGGGTCTAACTATGTTGCCCAAGCTGGCCTAGAACTCTTGATCTTCCTGCCTCAACATTCTATGTAGCTGAACTAAAGGTTTGAATTAACAACCTGGCCATTGCATTTTTTTCATTTCTCTCCAGAGGAAATGCAGTAGGCTCTAAATGGTCTGCTGTAAGTGCACAAGACAACCCTGGTTTTAGATTATTTCCACAGACATGCAGTGTTTTTAAAACCTAGACATCCTTACTGGCTTATCCTATTGGAGATAATGTAGAATCAGTCCAAATATTTTTAGGAAATGAAGGTCTTGTGAGATAACTAGATAACCATACTGTTAAAAATAAATAGAGTCATGTCAAGGGAGCCAAAATAATTCAATAATTGTGATGGGAAAATTAGATATGCATATGTAGAAAACTAAAATTGGATCCTTGTTTGTCACCATGCACCAATATCAACTCACAGTGGATCAAAGACCTCAATATAAGACCTGAAACTTCAAAACTACTACAAGATGGAGTAGGAGAAACATTATAAATAACTTATAGGCATAGGCAGGTACTTTTTGAAGTGTCCCAGGAGCACAGCAAATAGCAGAGAGACTTGACAAATGAGCTTATGCTGAAATAAAAAGTTTCTCATACAGAACTGCAGGCATTTACAGTAAGGCCTCCTCTAAGATACCCTTAGAGAAGGAGCACATGCCTCTGATCATGCATAAAGCAATATTTATTAGAATAAATTCCAAGAAATGGAAAAGAGTGCTTTTCTTTGTTGCTGTTTTTGTTTTCTTTTCATCTTATTTGTTCATTTATCTGTCTTTAGGAAGGGTAAAGGGGAGGAACAGAAATGGAGGAGCAAAAGGTGAACAGATGCAGTAGTGGTACTTATTAGATACTATGTTCAAAATGAACTATACAACTTGTGATCAGAGATGGGAGGGAAAAACTGGGAGAGAGCAAGGAAAGGTGTGACACTGTTCCAAAAGAAATATACTCTGTACCTGACTTACATGACTGTAATACCTCTGCACATCACCTTTATAATAACAATAAAAAATGAGATAAAAACCCTCAACATTTCTGCATACCAACTAGAAAGACAGCCAACAGACCGTTACCAGCAATACATCTGACAAAGACCATATATCCAACATATACAAGGAATTCAAGAAATTAACCCCACTAATAAACCAATCAATAAATAGGTAAAGGAACGAGATACTTCTCAGAAGAAGAGGTAAGAATGGCAAATAAACACATGAAGAAATGCTGAACATCCCTGGCCATAAAGGAAATGAAAATCTAAATAACTTTGAGATTCACCTCAGTAAAATTATCCAGCATTAAGTTTCAAACAATAACAAATGCTGGTGGGGATGTAAGAAAAAAGGAACCCAATCGCACTGTTGGTGGGAATATAACCTAGTACAACCACTCTGGAAACTAAACATAGATCTTCCCTATTACCCAACCATAACCAGAACATTACAAATTAGGTGGCAAAGACACTTGCACTATTCACAATAGCTAATTTATGGAAATAGCCCAGATGCGTTACACAATGTATGGATGCATAAATAAAAAAATGTGTACCTATACACAATGGAATTTTACTCATCCATTAGAATAATATTATGTCATTTGCAGGGAAATGAATGGACCTAGAACAAAGTGTGTTAAGTGAGGTAAACCAACCTCAGAGAGAAAAACAACACATAGTTTTTCTCATATGTGGAAGCTAGATCTAAATACAACTGGACATGATAACTTACACTGGAACTCTAGGTATCTGCACAAAAACAGACTAAAAGAGGATACTCTTGGGGGAAGAACTCAAAGGCATAATTCCTTTGAACATGTAAAATACTATTTATACAAACAAATTCCAGGAAATGAAAACATTTTTTGTTGTTGTTGTTGGTGGTGGTGGTGATGGTGGTAGTGTTGTTTTTGCTTTTCCGGTTTTTTGTCTTTTTAGAAGGGGCCAAGGGGGAGGTAC